GAGCACCTTTATTGACTAATCTAGGCAAGTTTTGATCAAGGATAGTAGGGGAGACTTCTCTTGGCACCAAGTGATACAGCCCTTTCCTCACTTCACCCAGACCAATCGTCTTCCAAGTTGTAAGGTCCTGTATATAACACAAGTTAGAAGAAAAGATAAGGCATCAATTAGATCGTTGAGCAAGTTTACTTGCGGATATGAGGTTAAAAGGAAAAGATAGAACACATAGCACATCATGAAGCAACAAGTTTTCTGTGATTTTGACATTTCCTATGTGAGTTGCCAAAGTTATAGCACCATTAGGTAATGCGACATGTTGAGAAATTTTGGATTTAATGGTTGTGAGGAAGGACACTGAGTAGACCATATGGTCTGTGGCTCCCATGTCCGCGATCCAAGGTATGGTAGTGCTAGATTCATTAGTGTGAGTAGATGAACACGTATAAGTGAAAAACTGAGTGTATTCCTCCTGAGTCAAAGCTACTTGATTTTTGTCACCAGTTTGCTCCTGTGCAGATCCCATGGAAGACGTATTCTGATTTGTGCAAGTGAAATTCACTTGCAATTTGCTATAGAACTTATGGCCTGGTGGGTATCCATGAATTTTGAAGCAATTGCTGATAGTATGGCCAGGCATTTGGTAATGTGTGCATGTTGGCTTATCTTTATTGGCTTTGAAATACCTTTCTAATGAGTGGACTGCCATTTTACAAAAAGTGCAGTAATACTTCTTCAGTGGCCTTGTATTTCTTTTCTCTGCTTCCCTCATAACTGTCCTTGACACTAATGCCATTCCTTCAGAAGCATGAGCATCACAGGAGATTTCCCTTCTCTTTTCTTCCTGCTGTATCAGTGAATATACTTCATTTAATTTTGCGAATGGCTTTATAAGTAGAATCTGAGCTTTGGGACCTTTGTAGGAATCATTAAGTCCCATGAGAAATTTCATTACCCAATCTCATTCCTAATTGCAAACCACAGTTTTTAACCCCCCATAGGTACAGTTGGGAATAGATTCATAGTTTATCAATTCATCAAGAAGTGTTTTGAGTTTTGAAAAGTAGGTACTCACAGTGTCCTGTCCTTGCATAAGTGCTACAATGCCTTAATGATTTCATATATTCTGGGGGCATTTTGTTGCGCAAGACATTGTTCTAAATCTACCCAAAGCTGGTGTGCCTTCTCAACGTATAGTGTGCTTGCCTTAATGTCCACTGTCATGGTGTTTTGTAGCCAGGTAATAACAATGTCGTTACAACGAAGCCGATGTTCCATCAAGGGACTCTCTGTATCAGTTGGTTCTCAGATGCTCCTGTCAATGAATCCAAGCTTATTTTTTATTCTCAAGGCCCTCTTTATTGACCTCGCCCAATAATGGTAGTTGTTTGCATCAAGCATCTGTGTGACAAGCAGAGCTCCTGAGTTTCCATTTGCCCCAATGAAGTATGGGCTGTTGGGAAGAGATGGATCATGAGAATTTGTATTTGAGTTTGAGTTTTGATGGGTTGTTTGATTTTGATTAGCATCAGTGTTGATGCTATTGCCATCAATTTCAGCCATCATAGCTCTGATACCATAAAGGAAATGCTAATGAATTGAATTGTAAAACAAAGATTAAAAAATCTGCTGAGTGTATTAATTATTTTCTCAATTCTCGTGTGTACATTTGGAAGGAAAATGACCTATTTATACAGCATTGCTATAATAGAATTATACAAAAAAAGTCAGTAGTTTGTTGCAGACCCATTTACACACTAACAGCCTAACAAAATTGGAATCAATTTAATTTCATTGATCATGTGCACGAGCCACCCTCATTTCAGTGCATTCTAGGTCCTTCCTGGCTTAAGTCATCCGAGCCTCACGATCATCTTTGAGTTTCAATATCCAAAGATGGGTTTCACACATTATCATCAATTCCATTGGTGATTCCTACACAATCAGGTACTATATTTGAGCTAAGGACATCAAATACAGCTTTCTATGATGTACGAGAGTCCTAATGGAACCTCAGTCCTACAAGAACCTGAAGAAGTAAAATAGGAATGTGAAGAGAAAAAACTAAATGTGTCATTACTCAACATGTTCATATTTTCTAAATTTGAAATAATATGATGCTCCATTCTATTGCAAATCCTGATTTTCTATGATGTATGGGGGAGTCCTAATGGCACCTCAGTTGTATACTTCTTATTCCGTAGGTCTAACAAGAACAAGAAGTAAAATAGGAATATGAAGAGAAAAACTAATTGTGTCATAGCTCTACGTGTTCAAGTGTTCTAAATTTGAAATACTATGATGCTCCAATTTATCGCAAATCCCGATTAAAAAAGTAGTCATACCATTAAGAACTGCCTTTCGACTACTCAATAGCTCATGTAACCCATATCCACCCTCAGGAGTCGTTATTTCCCAAGAGTAACCCTGCCATCAGAAAAGGAAATAAGAGAATGAAGGTGTTGTGCCCATTTAATTGTACAGTGAGGTAATTTAATGATTTATTTACTAAATTCTGATAATTTCCAGATATCTGCAAAATATCCTCCTATCATCTTTTCCCCATTCGTCCTTTCTGAGTTACTAATGCAGGTGAGTTCCACCCATTCTAATGTGGGATGGAACACCACCAGCAGAAGCAAAAATGAGGAATGAAGAATAAGTAAATTCATTTGGCACTTATTTGCACAGTCACAGCCCTAAAGTTGAACATTCTCTAAAACATCAAACAACAGCCGAATTGTATGGCTAATAATCCTTGCTGATAACTATATAAATCTTATATTACCATACAATTAAATATAGGGGAATTTACACAAATGTTACTAAAATTGAAAATGCAAAAAAAATTTGGACATTCACCAATTTCTTCCAAGAATGTCAATTTTTCCTTACAAAATGTCCACTTTACCCTTTAACACCTTTTTGGAACGATAAATGCTTGATTTGAATGCAATTAATGTTATGATGTGATTAATTTATTTTTGGTTTAAATTTAATATTGAAAATATGATATTATATTGTATAATAAGATTTTTTTTGATTAAAAAAGGGGTGAAATCTTTACAAAATACACATACACATACGAATTGAAAGAGCTTCTTCTTCTTCATCATCTCTACTCCATCATCAACAAGGAAACAAGGAAAGCCATTGACAAATTTGAAAGGTGAGGTAGTAGAAAAAAAGTTCATCTCATGTCATAGTTAACTACTTTAAATGTTCAATACAATATGATCATATTTAAATGAACCCTTTCAATCTCTTATTCATTGATGTAGTTAATTTTTGGTATATTTTAGAAAGAAAAATTATACCAATATTATATAGAAAATGTGGAGTATTCCATATATAATTCAACATTTAATGAAGCATTAAGTGATACCTTGTTCATTTCTAAAAAGATACAGTGATATTGTAGTTCAGAATTTATTATGGCCTTTACCGTTTTCAATAAATTCGTCAAACAGTGAAGCACATGGAATTTGTCTTTCTCGAAAGTTATGGTAGTAGAACTGTCGAGCAGTATCTTGGAAATTGTCGGGTTAGACATTTTAACTGTCGAACTCAACATTTACTGACTGTCGGGATAGAAAATGTAATTGTCGATTTCGACACCTAAAAACTGATCATCTTTTATATCTTTGGTAGTACATGGATGTAAGTATTTTCGTGTGCCAATTTGATGTTATGAAATGTCGACATATGAATGTGCAGAATTCTCACTTTTGCAGTCCCAACATTTCAGGTATGAGTCATGATTTTAGATTCATCGTGTCGCATGGAGGAAACTTCGTTCACTCAGATGATGAATGGAAGTGGAAAGGGGACAAAACCACTTCCATTTTAGTGTCGAGAAGTATTACCATAGCAGAACTTGTGTTATGATTGAAGGAGAAACTTGGTATCGTTGAATCCCGCAATGCAATCGAATTGAAGTTCAAAGTCCCGAACTTGAATCTACCTCCAGCAGAGATACGCGACGATGAGGATCTACAGTGGTACATATCTGTTCATAAGGAAACTGCACTCTGCATCACATATTTGGTATCCGAGCTCCCGATTGTTGGTATGGCAACAGATGCAAACTGTGAAGGGAACTTGTTCGGCCCAACGGAATGTCCACTGAATGTACAACATGACGAGATGAATCATCAGCACAGTGTGTCGCAAACCGAACAAGTATTACCGTAGCAGAACTTCTGTTACGATTGAAGGAGAAACTTGGTATCGTTGAATCCCGCAATGCAATCGAATTGAAGTTCAAAGTCCCGAACTTGAATCTACCTCCAGCAGAGATACGCGACGATGAGGATCTACAGTGGTACATATCTGTTCATAAGGAAACTGCACTCTGCATCACATATTTGGTATCCGAGCTCCCCGATTGTTGGTATGGCAACAGATGCAAACTGTGAAGGGAACTTGTTCGGCCCAACGAAATGTCCAATGAATGTACAACATGACGAGATGAATCATCAGCACAGTGTGTCGCAAACCGAACTACCCAAACCTCCAATTGAGCCTATAGAGGCTGCAGCATCCGCCGAACACCCATTACATGGTACAGATTGTGCTATTATTACTGAAATAGATGAGACAATGCATCAAATTCCAGACGTTCGTGCACAGATGAGTGGATTACAGCTGTAAATACATCGATTCTCGTCGAGAAGCAAATATTCTTTACCAAGAAACAGTTGTACTTGAAGCTTCATGTACTTGCTTTGCAAGAGAAGTTCCAATTTCGGGTAAGCAGGTCAAGCTTGAAAATGTTAACAGTTGTCTGTGTGGATGATAATTGCAAGTGGATGCTTCGTACTTCTACTGTCAAGCAATCTGCAATCTTCATGATCCGTAAGTTTGTTACAGTTCACACATGTTCCCTTGATTTTCGTCGTAACGCACATCGGCATGCCACTAGTGTTGTAATTGCGGAGCACATTTTGGAAAAATTGGATACTCCATACTGATCATATCCACCTACTCATATTGCACGTGATATGGAACGTGAGTTTGGTGTGAAAATCAGTTATAGCAAAGCACGTAGGGGGAAGCTCCATGCCTTAAATATGCTACATGGTACACCAAGGGACAGTTTTTAGAAATTATCTTCATACTGTCACGTCGTAGGAGAAAGTAACCCGGGGACCGTTACCCACATCGAAATTGATTCTTGTAATAAGTTTCGTTACTTCTTCGTAGCTTTTGGTGCAAGCATTCGTGGATACATACAGTACTTGAGATCCGTTATTTGTGTTGATGGCAGTCACTTGAAAGGTCCATACAAAGGTACACTCCTAGTGGCAACTGCCCAAGATGGTAACAAACAGATTTATCCGTTGGCATGGGGGATCGTGGATGCTAAAACAAATAAATCGTGGAAGTGGTTTTTGTCGAACTTGAAAGATCTTATAGGGGATTCCAAAGAACTCGTGTTCATTTCAGACAGGAAAAAGAGTATTCAGAAAGCTATTTCTCAGTTGTTTCCGTCGTCTCGGCATGGTTGTTGTATATGGCATATGGAAAAGAACCTAATACAGCGGTATAACAACGCAAGCCTATTATTTCTATTCAAACGAGCTGCTACAACTTTTCAGGTCGAGGACTTCGAACGACTCATGGGACAGATTCGCAGAGTGAGTGAAAGAGCGCACGGGTACTTAGAGCGAGCGGGATATTCATTTGGGTCCAGAGCACTATTTATTGAACACCGTTACAATATTATGACAAACAACTATGCAGAGTCGTTGAACTCGATGTTTAGAAAAGCCCGATCGTTATCGATAACCTGCTTGGTTGAACACATTCGGAGTACTATGCAGAAGTGGTTTTATGAACGTCGAGCAAATGCGGAAGAATGCAGTACCTTATTGACACCAAGGATGGAGAACGAGCTACGGACGACTTTCGAAAATGGAACTAGGCTTCGAGCCCATGTCCTGACAAACAACTTGACGCAGGTTGGAATATCCAACGACACGGACATAGTTGACTTGTCCGAAGAAACCTGCACATCTCGTGAGTTCCAACTAAACCATATGCCATGTGTTCATGCAAGTCGTGCTGCTTGCTTTAGAGGGAAGACGTTGTACGAGCTTTGCTCCCGTTATTATTCATCGGACTACTGGAAGGGTGCGTATAGCGAAACTATATATCCTGTTCCGAAGGAAGTGGATTGGGTTGTTCCCGTGCCGAGCGCCAACTCGTCGTAGGAACTCCGTGTCCTGGTTCGGCTACACTGGCGGGAACAGGGACTTCAGTGAGATCGCCTACGAGAATTCAAAAGGAGGGAGGAGTTAGTGACCATAAATGCCCTTCCGTACCATACGTAACATACAATAAGTGATGCAGAGAATGAACTTACCATCACCATCCGTAACATCGCAACCCTGTAAGTCGGCATCGTTGCTCGGGGCCGCATGTGAGGGCTCCATGGCTCCTCCATCTGATATTACAATACATATGTAATTGCATATGTGTTCGACATTTACAGTTGGAAGATAATGGAAGCGTACAGGAAGAAAGAAAATGAGAAAAATAATTCCCATGTTACCGTTCAAATTCGGGACGGCAAAGATCGGCTCGATCTGTCCTCCACCTAATTGGACACCACAATCACACCACAGGAATATGTTATTGCATTTTCATGAAGTTAGAACGGAAGTAGATGCCATCGAATATAGTAGGGAAAAATCGTAGCACATGACAACGTACCTATCTGTTCGTCGGTTGCTACGGGCAGTGGGTCATGTACGTTGTCCGGGCGAGCCGCGATGTCTCCTCCATCTGTTGATGAGAACATGAAAAATGTGTGAATACATTAGGTTTCCCAACTTCCACAATATACAAAGTCCGTCAAATAACAAGTTTCAATGCGCTTATAAATAACCCACGTACCTTGTACATGTGCAGTTCCTGTATCTGCTAGCATGTCTCGCTCATCCGGGGAAGGCTCCATTTCTCCTCCATGTATTGGAAAGATATTATTTCTAACTCGCAATTGTCGCATGGAAAAAAATGTGAGCTACAGGTGCATGTGCTACTGTCGAACATAGGTGAAAATTATAAACCAAACGGTTTATTGCGAAATACTACCTAAAACTCCAGCCTCGATATCGGCGGGCATCGCGGTTGCAACGGGGGTCGGAGCAGGTGGGGCCACAAGGATAGCAAAGAAAGCTCCGAGTTTTTTACATTCGGATGTCACGTGCTGTTCGATTTCATGCTTGACGGTGCGAAGTCACATTTCAAAGAGAATTCTTTGGTCGAACAATAGCTCTTCCACCTCCTCTTTGGTGACGCCTGATCCGGATGTGCCAACTGGGCGTGTCTCCATCGTCGGCCCTCGTACTGGAGAAGAAACGTGGGTCGCTGGAGGTGTGGAAGATGCACCAGTCTATCCTCTACAAGTATCCGCACCGACACTGGATCGCTCACTGGCGCCCTTGCCACTCTCCTTGGTATCAGCACCTTCATCTCCAGACGTCTCATCCTCACCACTTCCTCCACTAGAGACTCCATCATCGGATTCCTGCCTCACCAACTGGCCGCCACTTTCACTACCTCCGTGTGATGCATTAAACTGTGGCCCCACAACATTCCTGACAATCTCATCCAGCACAGGCACCGGAGGATCATCGTACGGCACGAGAGTGGAGAAATACTGTTGTTTTCCCTCAGCATCGATGGGACGAAGTGTGGCATAGACATGCAACTACAATGTACAGTTATAGATTAGAAATGAAAAGCTTCAGGAATGACACGAAACGTGAATAACAAAAGTAACACGTGGTATCCATACCCGCACATTCTTGAAGAATGCATCGTACGTACGATGCTGTGGTTGTTTTCATGTGGACCACCTAAGCAATCGTGGCATTCGTTCCCCAACTCTTTTACCAAAACGTTCCCCAATCTCGGGAACTGCCTTGTACGCCCAAACCTGTTCCATCAAGACAAACAGAAATAAAATAGCTGAGATGGTACGCACGATGCTACATGATGGCAAACAAATAAAGCATGATATGCTACTATTTAAAACTTGTGTACCTGCATGGAAATGGGAAAGCTATGAATAGTGTATGTAACCTCCTTTTCTTACCTCCTCTTCGCCTTCAGGAATTTCTTTGCCCAGAAACCCCGGAATTCGTGCAGCAAACGCCGATAGCCGACTCTACCCCAAGGGTAGGCAAAAAAGATATCTAGGTTGTCGACATTAGATAGTGTACGCAAATCAATTCTGACATTATTATCAGGGGCATTGAAAACTCCTTCGACTATTAGCACGAGCCCTAGTTTGTAGCGATCGGCTCGGGTCGTCGAAGGTCGGGCAATAGTAGTTTGGAGTTGTGCCAACGATATCTTCTCCATGGATTTGAAGTACCTCTCCTTCAGCCTTCTCCTCTCCAGCACTCGATCGAACTCATCACCCTCCGGGAATACACCGCATCTTAACCCCGTCACAAGGGTGTATTCCTGTAGACCGAATCTCATCATGTTGCCTTGCACATTGAACCAGAGCTCATTAACCTTGTCAGTGCGAATGGTTCTGAACACGAGCTGCTGGATGAGCTGGGTAGAGAATTGAATCTCTGCAACCTCGGCCAGATACCCGAAGGGGGAGTTTCGAAACTCGCCGCGTTGTCGGTCATCGAAAAGGTCCATCACTGTCTTCACATACTTCAAGTTGCTCCTCTGCGAAATATGGGCCCGCAACCTTACCTCCTTTGGAATACAATAATCAAACTCCATCAGTCCTGTGTCCTGCATGATGCATTCATAAAGCTCGCTGGGATTACTGGATAAACTTAAAGATATTGTATCATAAATAGTAGTTTAATGAAACACACTAATGCATGGACACACTCAACTGTCGAGAAAAACTGACTAAAATCGTCGGTACCGACATATGATCTGTCGAGATCTGTCGATACCGACAGTTGATGTCCAAACATGCAAGAAGGTTGGCCTAACTGTCGAGAAAACCTGAGCTCTACTGTCGAGAACGACAGTTCAGTGAGAGGCATTGAACTTCTAAATCATTGCTAAATCACTTCCAATTACGTAAAATCTCTCTAAGATAACTATGTGGGTCGTCAAAAGCTATCCATTCATATATAGAATACTGGATTTTATAGCCATCACAAAACAAACTGTTCAAAAATAAAGCAACTAACAAAAAAATAAAGGAAAAGACATAAACGAATGCAATCACTTATTCACAAAACTATTATCATTCCATCATCCAACTCAATTCACAAATACTAGAAGCAAATCACGAAACGTCGCCAGACTCCAAATAATTTCATGTACAATACAACACTCAGGTAATACATGATTTTAAATCAATTCATCAAACACAAGATGAATAGGTCATCTAACTAATCTTGATTTTAGTAAAAAGTAAAATATTGAAACATTACAGAACTCAAAATTTCAACATAACTAAGAAAACATAAACAATATGGCTTTGAGCTTCACCTTCTTCAACAACATAAATTATGTATCCGAAATCACAGATTCACAATTCTCATTTGAATGCCAAATTGCCAATTAAATGAGAACATAAATCATAACTCATAGAAGTCATAAATATAAAATTACAGCAAAACCAAAACACAATTTTCAATTTGTTATAAAACAAGACTGGGTTGGACAAACTCAAAACTGCACCTCAAACTCAAAATTGCACCTCAAACTCAACAAAATCAATCACTTCAAAGTAAACCAAAGTAAACAACATTTTATTCCTTCAATGAGAATTAAGAATCCATCAAAACCTCCTTTGCAAACGCCACTTCAAATTCTCCACTTACACAATATAGAAATTATAGCTTCTTATTATAGTATGCATCCATCTTTCCTAACAAAACATGTAGTATTCTTGGAGTATATGGTTTCAAATGATGGGTTAGTATTGGACACAACAAAAGTCGAAACGATAAATCAGTGGCCACTGTTGGAAGTTTTCAATTTTCATTGTCATGCTTTCTTTTACAGGAGATTTATATCACACTTCAGTACCATCATGGAATCTATTATGAATTTATTAAGACAGGGAGATTTCATTAGAGCCTTCAGGCAGATGAATCATTTCGGTTGATTAAATAAAAACTAACTCCGATTCTGGTACTATCTGATTGTATGCAACCTTTTGAGCAACAATGTGATGCTTTGAAAGTTGATATTAGTACAGTTCTTAGTAAGATTGGTCGACCTATGGCTCATTTCAACGAAAAGTTCTTGGGCCTTAAGTCTCGATATAATATCTTTGATATGGTGTTTTATGCTATAATCCAATCAATTCAACATTGAGTCACTATTTGTTTTAGAAAGAGTTGGTTTATATACTGATTATGATGCCCTTAAAGACCTTAGTACTCAAAATAAGGTGTCACTCGACATGTAACTTGTATTGCATACATGCAGCAGATTACTTTCATGATTAAACACAAGGCATATTGAACAAGACGATAGATGTATTGAGCAGATGTCAATCTCTCTTGATGGAATTACGAGTAGAGGTACTAGATTTTGAGACCTTTAGTGAATTATACGCTACTGATCCATATTTTCCAGTAATTTTCCAGAAGTTACAGGAGGGTGCACAGTCAAATTTTGTGTGGGTTGACTATTTTATCTTCAAAGGAAATCAAATGTGCATTTCAAAAAGCAATCTGCACCTTATAATTGTTCAAGAATTGCATAATGAAAGAAATGTGGATCTTGATTGTACATTACAACTTATGGCTGCATCCTACTATTGGCCAACAAAGAGGAACAAAACATGAAGGTTTGTTAAACGTTGTTGTACATTTTATCTTTCAAAGAAAATGCTAATAATGCTGGGTTGGATATTGTTTTGCGCCTTCCTCGAATTCAACAGGGCTTTAATTTTATCTTTGTAATGGTGGGTTATTTTTCAAAAATGATATGTTCATCCCTTGCAAGAAGACAACAGATGCATTCAATATGGCGGTGTTGTATTTTTGTGAGGTATATTTGTTACACAGACTTCCTACATCTATTGTATCTAACAAGGATACCCATTTTCTTAGTGGCTTTTGGAAGAGTCTATGGAGTCCGGTGAATACTCGATTGAATTTCAGTAGTGCTTACCATTCTCAGACAGATAGTCAAACTGAAATGGTTAATTGTTCATTGGGAGATTTGTTGAGTTCCTTGGTTGGTCAGTTAATTAAGTTGTGTGGTC